TGTGCGATTTTCCCAAAAAAGCCATGATAGCTGAGGCGACAGAGTACATCCTTCACGCATATCTCGAGGTACACGGCCTTCGTGTGTTGCGGATTCGCTGTGTGCAGCCTCGTTGTAGGTTACAAGTTGCGAAAGCACATCTAGTTCAGTCGTACTAGTAAGGCCCACCTTTATAGGCGGCAATCGCCGATGCGACCGTTTCCACGCATATTTCAAGCTGCACGCTCACTGTGCATAAAGCAGTCGATGTGTGCTAGAAGCTGCCAAACCACAATAACAAGTCTCGAAGTCCCACCTTTATGGGCGGCAATCGCGGATGCGACCGTTTCCACGCATATTTCAAGCTGCACGTTCATCGCGACGAGAAGAGACGAGAGCTAGATGCCGTATCCTCCACGCTCGTATCCTGTGACGAGTCTCGGAGTTAGAATGAGGCTAACTTTTGAGTCGACTCAAGAGTCTCGGAGTTTGAAGGAGGCTAGGAACAAGCTGATACGAAATGGCTCGCCACAGGTAATACTCGTGCAAGTTGCCGTGGTGGCATGGAATGGGGGTGTTGAGGAGTGGTAACTCAGCCGAATCTGGCGGGATTCCTGCATGCCATCCAAACTTCGGTATTTGACAATCGCATCCACAGCGTCCAAGCTAGCGAGTTAGAACCTCGCAGATTAGGTTAGTACATACAGTCTCAGGCAGGTCTCTTGCTAACCGGGTAATTACGCTTAATGTCGAGAAATTAAGAGTAACTTTTCAAGTGATTCCGTTTTTTAACAGTGCGATTTTTTTCCGAATCCTTCCAACTTACGGAAACAATTTCGCGCGATTCCTTAGCCTAACGAGAGATTTGTTTTTTTCCGAATCCGTACTGGCTATACTTAGCAGGGCAATCTGTAGGGGGTAGCGACCGCCCATACCCCCACCCTACCCCCCCCCTCCCCCCCGGCCCAACCCTGCCTTTGATCACTTAATAGCCGAATTTGTAGCGGCCGATTCCTTTCGGTAACGGGTTTTTTTGGGGGAATTCCGTCTGTTAACGGGTGATCCTGAGGCGATTCCGTCCCCTTCCGGAATACCCTGGGGCTTAGCGAGAGGCCTGGTCTCAGGTATTAGTGGAGTTTGACTAATCCTTCAATAAGCAGATCCGCTAAAGGCCTAAGTGCCATGGCGTATGAGACCGTATGGGTTGGGTGGTTGCGTGGGGTCAGTATCGTCTCTTAGCTGATCTACAGGTACTCCAAAACGAGGATAGAACGCGCGCTCGTGGCGGCTCGTACGTCCAGCGCCAAGCCTTTCGGTCATCTTGAACGCCACATGGCTCATGCGAACTGGCTTGGTATTCCACGTCATCCAAACGTGCATGAAACGCGAAACGGGAATGTCGTACGGCGACGAAATTGCCGCCGAAATTCCCTCCCTGCCCCCCCAGTGAGACACCCTCCAGCAGAGCAGAGAGCAACTCCTCTGTTGTCCTGTCATGTCATCTTTCCCGCCAAACACCTCTTCGTGGTTTCCATTGGTTGGGCGAATGTTGTCGTCGTACACCCTACAACCTCCAGTGTCGCACCTCGTACCCACGCTTCTCGCCTCTTCGCAGTTGTCACGTTCGCGAAATCGAAACCGTCTAAAATTCGCGAACGCCATCGAAGACAGTCGGGCTTCGTCAGCCTTCGTGCACCTGGCTTTCTATTCGCCAGACCTTTGACGAACACCGACGAAATAGGGAGCCCAGTTTCCCGTCGCCAACATCGGAGTTTCCCTCTCGTCTGTTCCTCCATCTTTGCAGGCACAGCTCGTGATTCGTGAAGTCTAGCCAGCAGCCCATTTTCGCCCCTCTAATCTCGCGAATTGTGATTACTGAGGTTTCACCTGTTCACCGCAAAGTTTCCTGCTGCAAGTCCGAAATTCCGGAGAGATACTTTTGAGTGATTAGCCTCCTGATCTCTCGCAGCGTTCACGGCTACGCCTGCGTTGCTTCTTCTGGCGCATGTGAAAATAGGCCGAAGGCAAGGGTAATAGGCGACTCGAAAGCAAACCGCGCGAAGGCATCGGGAGGATTCAGCTGGAGTAAGGACTCTGCAAGACACATCAGCACGCAGCAGCAGGTCTCAGGGCACATCAGCAGCGCGCCATCCAGCAGCGCGCCATCAGGACTCAGGCAGGACACATCAGCAGGCATCGAGCATCAACCAGCTTCACAGGCATCAACGCGCAATCATCAGGCGAGCAGTATACGACAAACAGGATATCAACCGGCGATTATCAGGCGATAACCAGGCGATTATCAGGCGACAATCAGGCATCATGTGCATGGGGATGCATATGACCTTCTACTGGGGCGTGGACGCCACCATCCTCTTCTCCTCATGGCACACGCGCACACTCCCGCAGTACTGCATCGCCCTCGCTCTTGTCGCGCTCTCTAGTATCGCGTACGAGGGCCTTAACTCGCTGCGGATCAACGTGGCTGCGGGAAAACTCGCGCGGGCGAACTCCACTGTCACCGACGAATTCACGACCACTCCACTGTAAGATTGCCTTGCTCTTGTTTGTCGCGCCGGCCTATATCGCGTACGAGGGCCTTGTTTCCCTCTGCGTAAAAGTGACAGTGGGAAGCCCGGCCCGGGCGAGCTCTGGCACGGCCAATCCTCTGTCATTCCCGTCATGCCATCCTTCAAAACACGGGATTCTTAGGCCCCTGGATTATTCCGCGCAATCAAACTTGATTCCCCTGGACGACTTACGCCGCTGATATTTTACCCCTCTTGGTATAAAGATTTCATTGGTTTCTGAGCCCCTTGGAGTCCCTTTTTGTCGTCTAACCCCTGCTCTTATCTCTGTGCCTTGTGCCTCAGGCTTACTGGGACCTCTCGCCCCCCGGCCCAGCTATCCTGGATGGATAAGCTGCCTCTCTCCCTGCTGTACATTGCCACGTCAGCCCTGGCCTACCTTCTCATGCTTTCGGCCATGTCCTTCAATGGGGGGATCTTCCTGGCTATCGTCGCTGGGCTAGGTGTGGGCCATTTTATGTTTGGACTGAATCGAGCAAGTCTTGCCTCTCAAGCCAATGCAGAGTCGTGCTGTGCGTAGTGGTAATGCCTGTCTTGTGCTCTAATGAATGAAAATGATTTAACTCAACTTATAGAAGCTCTGAATATGTTCTAATGCACACTGCTTCCACAACATCCTGTCATATTCTAGGTTGTAGTGTACGCATATGACGTGTGCCACTAAGGAAATGCAGGTAAACAAACTACTCTTGAAGGAGAGATGAGTACACGTGAATGTCATATATTTAAGGTTCTCTAACACGGAGGAAATCTATATGGATTCAAATAATGAGAAACCATGGCGAACGTTGGGAAAGCACATTTGGGGAAGGAAGCAAGGAGAACCTGAAATTATGGGTTGTTACTAGAATATAACATTGTGAGAAACTACAGTGCCGTTATAACGAAACTTTATTTCCCGCAGCAAGTCGTAGCTGCGATGGTCCTCTGATTACGCGTCGTGCCAAGTCGCATATGCGACCACGATACACCTCATCAAACCAGGAACTCTGACGACCCATGCGGCCCATCGACGGTAGGCCAATGCTTTTCCTCAACGAACATTGTCCATCCAACGGCTCTATGAACTTTCTACGACGCACGGAACGACAGGAGGCGGGCTTTGTGGGTGGGAGGGAAATCTGACAGAGCAACACCCTCACTTTGGCCGTTCCAGAAGTGAAGCATGGTAGGAGTTGGACCTGTTTTGTCACACTCACATTTGAGGGTCTTCCTCACTCTGACGTTTTCACCTTGTTTGTATTGGAGAGCATCCCAAACCAAGACCTAGAGCACAGATTCAGTAGCTTGTAGCTTGCAGATCGGCGCAGGGTGTTCTTTCGCTGCGTCCTCCGTACACAGTTTCTCACTTCATTTCTTTGCCTGCTTCCATGGCCGACCAATTGTCGGAGGATCAGATTGCGGAGTTCAAGGAAGCTTTCAGCTTATTTGACAAGGATGGAGATGGTGCGTTCGGTCTTCAGGCATTGGCGAATGGTGTCTCTCCTTTTATGCAGAGTGATGAAGGCAACAGCGTAGTAAAGCTCTTCTGTTATTGTAGATCTGGCCTAAGATGTCACTCTGGCTTTCTTCACAGGTAGCATTACAACGAAGGAGCTCGGAACTGTCATGCGGTCTTTGGGACAGAATCCGACTGAGGCTGAGCTTCAAGACATGATCAATGAAGTCGATGCGGATGGAAACGGGACGATCGACTTTCCAGAGTTCTTGAACCTTATGGCGAGGAAAATGAAGGTGAATATTTTTCTTTCGGTGCATATGTATATTCAGCCAGTCATGATGAAACCTTTCTGAGATCTCCAAATTTATTGATTCCAGGACACGGATTCTGAGGAGGAGTTGAAGGAGGCGTTTAAGGTGTTCGACAAGGACCAAAACGGGTTCATTTCGGCGCAGGAGGTACGCTGGTGCTGGGTTGGATTGGCTCGATCATGTTTTCTTCCTCAGCGGTTTAGTTGTCTAATGCCCTTACGCAACCCTTGTATTTTTGGCAGCTTCGACACGTGATGACGAATTTGGGAGAGAAGCTGACAGATGAGGAGGTTGATGAGATGATTCGAGAGGCTGATGTGGATGGTGATGGACAGGTGAACTACGAAGAGTTTGTGAAAATGATGATGGCAAAGTAGGCTAGCTTGACTGTATTATCAGTAGTCATTTTCAGTGGCGCTTCTCAGGCTCAAATGAAAAGTTTAGACCAGTATGTGTAGGGTCCTGAATTGAAAGTGACCATGATGCTTAGCTTACGTGACTTGGTCCAGCCCCCGTACTGTAAAGTTCATATTTATTGGCATTAGAGTTAAGAAACAAATTACACAAGCATCTGCACAAGGGTTTTGTAGAATGGACGTATTCTTGGTGGTTGTGATGGGATTCTTAGGAAGTCGTAGTGTTTCAATAGTGTACCCCTCGTCCCCATCACAAATCCGAGTCATCAGGAAGTCTGGGAGGGTTTCTTCCTTACTGTCAGGTCCCAATTCAGCGTGCTGCAGACATCTCCCACCAGTAACTCGCTTCTAGGGCCTTCTGCCTGCCGTCTCTAGGGTGCTTAGCTCTCATTTATCCTCGGCTTTGGTTACGGTCGGGGTCCCCAGTTTTTTTACGAGAGATTCTGTTGAGATGGCCGACCAGCTGTCTGAGGATCAGATTGCGGAGTTTAAGGAAGCCTTCAGCTTATTTGACAAAGATGGAGATGGTGCGTTGGTCAGATTTTGCGTATGAGCTGGTGCAGGCTTCATGACGAATTCCACCTGCGAAGTATTGAACGATGCTGTCTTATCGTTTAGTGCCAGGCATGGATCTCAACTTAGCATGTTTTCCCTGGGGTGTCCACAGGCAGCATCACAACGAAAGAACTTGGCACCGTCATGCGGTCATTGGGACAAAATCCCACTGAGGCCGAGTTGCAAGATATGATTAATGAGGTCGACGCTGACGGCAACGGCACGATTGACTTTCCCGAGTTCCTGAACCTTATGGCGAGGAAAATGAAGGTCAGTATTCTCTATGTATTATCGTCTAGACATTCCAGGCCGCTTTGTAACCCTCAAGTTCGTTTTACTTCAGGATACCGATTCTGAAGAGGAGCTGAAGGAAGCATTCAAGGTGTTCGACAAAGACCAGAACGGCTTTATTTCGGCGCAGGAGGTACGTGGGCCCTGTGTACATTGGTACGCCAGGAGTACCTTGGAAAATGAAATTCATGTTCATTGAGAATTCCTTTTCCTGAAATTTCTACACTTTATCCTGCAGCTTCGGCACGTGATGACGAACCTGGGAGAGAAATTGACAGACGAGGAGGTTGACGAGATGATCAGGGAAGCGGATGTGGACGGAGATGGCCAGGTTAATTATGAGGAGTTTGTGAAGATGATGATGGCGAAATAAGTCAAGCACAATCCATCCTCGTCAAGCACAATCTCTCTTAATTTCCTTCTTCCTCAGCTGCTGACTGGGTATCCTGAAGCCCCCATTCTTGTCCCAGGTTTGGAGCTTAGGGATGCTCACTCAGCCATGGACAACACTTGTGAGCTCTGATGTTCTGCCTTCAATTCCTGTCGGTGCAGTAGTGGGGTAGATGCCTCTTGGTTTCCACAGGGTTGTAAAACAGTACCTAGATTCAATCGTTAGGTCTGAAACGCTGATGCTGGTTGTTGCTCTGTACAGCACTAGGTTCAGAAGCGATACTCAGCTGGCTGGATCTGTGCATAACGCATTTGTTACAACATTGCATTGAATGAAACATTGTGCCCGATTATTTTTTTTGGGCTTTAAGGAGATCCCAGGAGGAAAACGTTGTGCCGGAGCTCCAGCAGTTGCCATGCTTCACTGAATGGAGGGGTGGTCATTGTTTGCCATCCCTAGGATCACTGGTGAGATCATTGAATGTCTCAATTGCCTTCTGAGCCAGCCTTGTCACTTCATAGTCCACCATTGCCTGCAGGAGGGAACGAGCGGCAGATGCACGAGCACGTGGAAGGTGAGAAATGGAGGAAGCTGCGGAAACCCTATTGGAGTGGTGAAATCATTGAATGCCATTCCTAGGATCACTGGTGAGGTCATTGAAAGTCAATCGCCTTCTGAGCCAGCCTTGTCACTTCATAGTCCACCATAGCTTGGAAGGGGGAACAAAGTGCAAGTTTCAAGAGTGTGAAACCATTGTAGGTGGGGGGGGGTGAATGTTGGGGAAGTGGGGTTCGAAGGTAGAGCGAAAAAATAATGAGAGAGGGGAGATATGGGAAAGAGTGAAAGGGCCTAATCTGGAAGTTCGGCAGGAAAACCGAATGCAACGCTCGTTCCTCAGCATGTCAGAGTACACCTGGTACCACCCGCTCCCAGGCGTCCACAGCTCCATAAAACCCCCCAGCCCCTGAAGGCCTGCCATAGCAGTCACCACCACACCACACCACTCCATACCACTCCATACCACAGCATACCCTTACATACCTCCATGTAGGAATCGAATACCACGTCTTTCCCCAGCATGTCCGAGTACACCTGGTACCATCCGCTCCCGGGCGACCACAGCTCCTTGAAATCTTGCAGCAGCCGCACGTTGAACTTGTCTTTCAGCGGATCGAAGAAACCGGGCGAGCGCTCGTCCGTGGAGACGTAGAGAAACCGACCCGGTTGAATCAGCTCAGGCAACCGTTTCAGCAGGCTGGAAGGGAGGGGGAGAAGGGGGATGGGGGACAAGGGGAGGGGGAGAAGGGGGATGCGGGAAGAGGGGAGGGGGAGAAGGGGGATGCGGGAAGAGGGGAGGGGGAGAAGGGGGATGGGGGACAAGGGGAGGGGGAGAAGAGGGATGGGGGAAGAGGGGAGGGGAGAAGGGGGGATGGGGGAAGAGGGGAGGGGGAGAAGGGGGATGGGGGAAGAGGGGAGGGGGAGAAGGGGGATGGGGGAAGAGGGGAGGTGGAGAAGGGGATGGGGGAAGAGGGGAGGTGGAGAAGGGGGATGGGGGAAGAGGGGAGAACTCCTTGAGGACGCCGGGGTGCAGGGGACGCCGGGGTGCAGGGGTATGAAAGAGGTGAAGTGGAAGGGGTGATAATTTGAGAAATCCCCCAGCACTTGAGAAGACCACAGCTCCTTGAAATCCCCCAGCAGCCGCACGTTGAACTTGTCTCTCAGCGGATCGAAGAATCCCGGCTAGCACTCGTCTGTTGACACGTAGAGAAACCGGCCGGGTTGGATCAACTCTGGCAGGCGCTTCAGCAGGCTGGTGGAAACAGGGGGGAGAGAAAAAATCTCGGAAAAAAAAAAAGGAGGTTTCAAGAAGCCCTGAGTGTGCCTGGTGTTTGCCTGCTGAGCCGAAGAGAAACAGGATCAGTTGGATTAATTCTGGGAGGCGTTTCAGCAGGCTGGTGGAAACAGGGGGGAGAGAAACCATGTGACCCATCCCACGTGTAACCATGTGACTTTACATGCCATATAACCCTATACATATCACCCCATACATATCACCCCATACATACATATCACCCCATGTCACATGCCACGTCACATGCCATGTCATCGTAGTGGCTGTTGCTCTTATGGAGTGGCCCATCCCCATGCGTTGCTGCTAGCAAGGTGACCTGTGAGTCGACTTGAAAGGCACATGCACCACATGGTAGTTGCTGTTGATCATCATACATACCGGTACACCCCACATGCACATGCACAAGCATGTTGTGTTGACATTCATGCCCCGTGTACTTTGAGTCGACGCAGCATGCGTCACAGTTGTTGCTGTTGTCCAACATGCATGTTGACGCACCTTTCAGCTCGTGTGTCCTTGTCAAGGTTGGGCCACCTCTTGGAGTCCCGCGCCTTGTCCCCCCCGCCGAACGTGCACCGCATACACACACACACACCATGCATAACAACCACGTGCACCTGATATCTCATCACATACGCATCAGCTCGTGTGTCTTTGTCCAAGTTGGGCCACCGCTTGGAGTCCAGCGCCTTGTCCCCTCTCCTCACGTGCACCACATCGTAGTTGCTGTTGTTCATCTGGAGGGTAATGTTGGAAATTACCCACTGGATCTCCTTTTGCATGGGCAGCAGGGACCAGTTGCGGGGGAGCGACTGGCATGAGAGAAACAAAAAAAAACGGAGACAGAGGACAGACAAGGGGAAGGGAGGGAGGGAGGGAGGGAGGGAGGGAGGGAGGGAGGGAGGGAGGGGGGTGAGAAAGATTGGAGGAGAGTTAGAGGCGCACACAGCAGACCCAGCGGGTGTCCCTTAGAGTTGACTCAAACAGCATTACACACTGGATCTCCTTTCGCATGGGCAGCAGGGACCATTGGCGCGGGAGGGAGCGACTGGCGGGTGGGGAAGAAACGAGAAGTAAACGAGGCTGGTGACTCGGGAACCCAGAGGAAACGAGAGTGGGGAGGAATAACCGAGAAAGCAAATCTCAGGATGAGAAAGAGCGGAGTGTGTAATGAGTCGACTCAAAAATCGACTCATTACACGCAAATCTCAGGAAGAGAAAGAGAAGGAGGGGAAATGGATGTGCAGGGAAAAATCCGAATGATCAGCTGCACTTCCCTGCTCTCCCCCACCCCCTTCTCCGTTACTTCTCTTGAGGCGCCTCAAAAGTTACTTCTCTCGCCCTCTGTCATCCCTCCGCCCCTCCTCTGCAAATACTGGGAAGGAGGGCTCTCCCCCAACCCCCTTTTCCGGGAAAGGGAGGGAGGGATGACAGAGTTACTTCACTCGCCCTCTGTCATCCCTCCCTCCTTCCCCCCTCTGCAAATACTGTCTCTCGCTCGCCCTAGCATACCTTTTGAGGCGCCTCAAAAGTCATACCCTAACCTAAACCAGCAAGAACCCCTGAATCCACCACAACTCACCACTCGCTCAGGTGCATGGCAGGCTGTGATTCCAAAGTCCAAAGCCCAAGTGCACAGATTTTGGAATCGCGGATCCCCCACACATGGCCTCAGTGCACTCACGACACTGTAGCATGCATCATCACAACTCACAGCGCCCTCAGGTGCATCGCAGGCATGGGTTCCGTTTTTTATAATTCTAAATAACAGCGATCCCAAATTTGATGCAGCAGTGAGATTGCAAACTACCAGCTGAACATCCCTCCTCTCGCCCTCAGCAAGTCAAATTTCTAGCCCTTGCACCCTCGAACCCGAAAACCCGAAACCCACAAGTCTCCGCTGCGGCGCCGGCCCCTCAGGAGCGTCGCAGGCAGCGAATCCAAAATCGGAAGCTGCGGAGTGTTTTTGAGAATTCTCAAAAACACTCCGCAAAATCCAGAATCGGAAGCTGTGGTAAAGATTGCGAATGATCAGTGCGGCACATCCCTCCTCTCCCCCTCTGTAGCTCCTATTTTCTCCCTTGCACTGCATGCTCCAGTCCAAAAACCCGAGTCCCTATACTCACCACCCCTTCAGGTGCGTCGCAGGCAGCCAACCCGAAATCGGAAGCTGCGGTAAGATTGCGAATGATCAGCGGCACATCCCTCCTCTCCCCCTTTGCCCACCTCTTCCTCTCGCCCTTGCATACCCTTAACCAGTCTAGTTTTGAGGCGCCTCAAAACTAGACTTCTATCACCTTGCATGCCGTTAACCAGGCGAAAACCCTAAATCCACCACGACTCACCGCCCCCTCAGGTGCGTCGCAGGCTGCGAACCCAAAATCGGAAAGCCGTGGTGAGATTGCGAATGATCAGCGGCACATCCCTCCTCTCGCCCTCTGCCAGCGCGGATGCCGGCTCAATCTTAGGGACAATGAGCGTGGAGAGGCGGTTGGATGGGGAGGCTGCATGCCAGGCCGCTAGAGATGACCGGAATCCTTGTAAGGGCGTGAAGGGGAGGTGGCTGGGGAAGGGGAGGGGGAGGGGGAGGGGGGGGGGAGGGGGAGGGAAATGAGGGTGGAGAGGCGGTTGGATGGGGAGGCTGCATGCCAGGCCGCTAGAGATGACCGGAATCCTTGTAAGGGGGTGAAGGGGAGGTGGCTGGGGAACAGGGAGGAGGAGAGAGAATGGGCGCAGGGAGAGGGAGGGCAATGAGAGTGGGAGAGGCGGTTGGAAGGGGATGCTGCATGCCAGGCCGCTAGAGCGGGCTCGAAAGCCCTGCAGGGGAGTGAAGGGGAGGTGACTGGGGAGGGGGAGGGGGAGGGGGAGGGGGAGGGGGAGGGAAATGAGGGTGGAGAGGCGGTTAGATGGGGAGGCTGCATGCCAGGCAGCTAGAGAGGCTCTAAAGCAGGGGAGTGAAGGGGAGGCTGATAGAGCGGATGAGAGTAGGAAGAGGAGTGAAGGAGTAGGGGTTGGATTGGATTGGATTGAATGAGAGTGGAGAGGCGGGTGGAAGGGGACTGGCTTTTGAGTCGACTCAAAAAGTATATTGTCAAAGTAAAAACCGCGTGTAATGAGTCTGCTTTTGAGTCGACTCAAAAGGAGTAGGGGTTGGATTGGAAGCGATGAGAGTGGAGAGGCGGGTGGAAGGGGAGGCTGCATGCCAGGCTGCAAGGGAGGCTCGGAATCTGCTTCGTGAGCTCCTCCACTTAAAGAGCCGCACCCCCATGCACAGCACAGATCCATTTGACCTGCTGCTGGTTGGAACACAGAGGGCCCTTGGTCCAGCATCTAGACCTACGCGCACCAGGCTCCACTTAAAGTGCCGCATCCCCATGCACAGCACAGATCCATTTGACCTGCTGCTGGTTGGAACACAGAGGCCCTCGCCCTTGGGTCTGCAGGTGGGTCAAAGCGCACCATTCACCTCCACCACCCTACTCACCTCTTCAGCTCGGG